GCACACAGACAACATGTGTGGCCCAAAGTGAAGATGTCACATGGCATGAACTGCAAAGTCATCCCTGGCCAGGCAAATCTCTGTTCACCTCCTCGTGCCCCCACCCCCTCCAGAGAAAAGAAGATACCTAATTATGACTGGTGGTCTCACTATCCAACTCTCTAAAGAGACTAAGCTCCAAGAGGGCAGAAACCTTGCTTGTTTCCTTCCCTGAAACATGGCATGCAGCCAGTGACATTTTGTAAGTAAATAAGGAAGAGAGAGGAGACCCAGTGCACCCTGAGAGGGTGAAATGTCATGCCAATGTCAAGCTCACATCTCTGGGAGGCTCACAGGCTAGAAAATGCTCCAAATAGGGGCACCTGGGTGGCTCAGTCAGTTGAGCAGCCGACTTTGGCTCAGGTTGTGATCTCACAGTGGGTGAGTTCAAGCCCCACATCGGGCTCTCTGCTCTCAGCACAGAGCTTGCTTCAGATCCTCTGCCTCCCTCTCTCTGTGCCTCCCCCCCTCCCCAGAAATAAACAAAAAACATTAAAAATTATGGGGCACCTGGGTGGCTCAGTTAAGCGTCCAACTTCAGCTCAGGTCATGATATCATGTTCCGTGGGCTTGAGTCCTGCATCAGGCTCTGTGCTGACAGCTCAGAGCCGGGAGCCTGTTTCAGATTCTGTGTCTCCCTCTCTCACTGCCCCTCCCCAGCTTGTGCTCTGTCTCTGTCTCAAAAATAAATAAACATTAAACAAATTTTTTAATTTAAAAAAATTAAAAATTAAAAAACAAAAAAACACTCCAAACATGATACAGCTTTTGAGTCTTCTTCCCAGAGATGAGAACACTGGGCCAGGGCTGTATCCCCTTCTGCATTCCCCAGACCCCAAGCCTCCCAACCAGCCCCCTGGGACCCTGTGGCTCCCCAGTCTCCCGCATCACCTGAACAAGGTCCTCCACCAGTGCCACAGCCTCCTCAGCACTCTCAGGGCACTGGGACTCCACCCAGACCCAGGTATCAGGTGGCAACACACCCCGGAACTGCTCCAGCACTGACAGCTCCATCATCTGCTCCTTGGAGTGTACCTCAGGCCTCAGCCACTGGCAGCAAAAGTCTTGTAGCCTGGCCAGGGCCTCTTGGAGCCCTGGTGCCTCTTCATAGTGGAAGCATGGTCAGGGGTCCCTACAAAGCCTGGAGGGGGCTGAGGGTTGGAGAGGGTTTTAGGATCCCGTGAGGTGGCCTCATCATCCTCCATCTTGATGATCACAAGCTCTTCTTGACTGAGGGGTGCTGGGTCCACTGCCATGACAAGACCTGGGGAAGCTGGTCCCACCTACACTCACTCAGGCCACACACCATCTTCCCTGGGACAAATGCCCATCCAATCAGGGCCATAGACCATGCACACCCCTCCAGCAACCCATATCCTCAAAGTCATTTCCTGTTGCAGAAACTGTCCCTAAATCTGGTCAGCTGGCAACCTGGCAGGGGATATCTCCAGCCTGAACCTCCCCATCTGTGCCTTCAAGAGAACACGTGGTACTGAGAATCTGGTTAAGAGGAGAGTGAACCCACCCCTGCAGGGGAAGTTTACAGTAGCTCATATCAGGCTGGGTAAAGGTATGAGAGTTGTTTCTGGAGATAGAGGACATGGATATGCCATGTCTCAGTGAACTGAGAGAACTCCACCAACAGCCAAGCAGAAGTGCTGGTGGGAACTAGCAGAGTCTGTGCTCAGGGTGGGTCAGAGCAAGTGAAGGATGCAATCTTCCAGGCACTAGGAAAAGTGATGTAGAATGAGAGGGGTGCATAGGGCAAGCTGAGGGCAAAATATAGGCTGGCACACTGTCCCCTGCCCCCAGGTAGAATATGTGTGATATTCCTTGGACACTCCTAGCTACCCAAGAACAAAGGAAAAGGGTTTAAGTGCTTGCCATAATGATGTGGGAAACTAGATTAAATAAAAAAACTAATTCCCTTACTGCTTATGGTCCAATGACAGGTCCTTGAGACCAGCAGTGACCTCCCTCTAGGAGTTCAGCTGCCTCAAGGACGACACTTTGCTGGGAACAGTAGAGAACCTTGGCTTAACATTATCCCAACCTCAAGGATCCTGTAAGCCAACTTCCTTTATCTCAACTGCCCCAAGATACATGCTGGGAATCACACTCCAAGCTTATGGCTCCCCAATATGCATCTAAAGGGTTTCATCACTGAGGCTTTATTAAATGGTGATAAATGGTGTTTCTCTAGTAACAGCTAGGCCCTCAAGGTCTTGGAAACATTGCTTCCAAAATTCCTTAGAGACATGCTCTATCCCTGACCCCCCTCCCCTCCCAACCTGAGGGTATATAATGAGTTACCCCTCACAACCCCAGTGCAGCTCTTCCTGCTCACAGGTTCTGTCTCTGTGCTTTAATAAAATCACCTTTTTGCACCAGAGACGTCTTCAAGAATCCTTTCTTGGCCATTGGCTCCAACCCCATGAACCCACTCCCAATCATCCCAAAACTTTACCACAGAGGACAAACTGAAAGAGAAAGATGCTAGGAGCAGCTGCAGGGCAGCCAGCACGGGCCAGGAGCAGGGAAAGCAATAGCTGACATCTCCACTGGAAGGCCTTCCTTCCCCCACGGCAGACTCCTACAGAGCCTGAGAGGCTCAGCTCATACCACTTAGCAAAGATCAACAGCTGTCAAGGAGAGATGTCCACTCCTCAACGTTCAACAAGAAAGTAATCTGTGGCTGTCCTCGCACAACGTGGTCCCACTAATGTTACATTTTAAAGCAACAAAATTCTGAGGTGTATGTGTGTGTGCCTGTATGCAGGAGCTACTGTAATAATAAATGTTCAGAAACGGGTCCAGAGGGGTAGGGGAGAGGAGAAGGGGGGTGATGAGCATGGAGGAGGGCACTTTTTGGGATGAGCACTGGGTGTTATATGGAAACCAACTTGACGATAAACTATAAAAGAAAAGAAAGAAAGAAAAAAAAGAAATGTGTCCTGAAAAACAAATTCCCAGAGAGCAAATCTAGGGAAAGTAACTGGAGGAGGAGTCCACTTTTTCTCTTATATATCTCTATACACCATCTGAATTTTGGAGGCAACAACCATTTGTTGCCATTGCAACTTTATAAAATAATTTCAGTGCCAGCGCATGTTTTTAAATGGGCTGGTCAGGGTTCCCCCGACCGGGAAAGCTCCATTACCCACCCACCCACCCACCGCACACCCACCCAACCACCAGGTGCCCAGAGGTGATGGCTAAAGAACATTTTGGCCACCAGGATCAGCACAGGCAAGAGCCATGTGGCCAGGGCGATACTGCAGAGTGTTTGGCAGCATAAAGGTCTGGATTTTAATCGCCACGTGCCGGGAGAGCCCTTACCCATCACTCCCACTTTATGCATGAACACACTGAGTAGTGGGAACAAAGAAAGAACTCAGGTCTGGACTGAGGAAATCCAGAGACTCCCCAGAGGAAGCAAGAAATTTTGAGGGTGGAGGTCAGGGGTGCATCTAAAAGGGAAGCACCAGAGGGCAGCCCAAGAAATTGGGCAGTGGAGGGTAACAGAGCCCACCAGCTGATGGAACCCAGAAAGATGGAGAGAGCCTGACCTCGGCCGGAACCACTTCCGGGTCAGGACCCTCTCACACAAGACTCCAGGGCCGAGGGGCCCCTGAGTTGCCTCTCCCCGAGGACTAGCTGTGCTCCCAAGGAAACAGGTGGTGCTTCTCTGCACTACCTCCCCTACCGCCTTCCGCCAGTTGCACACCCTACCCCAGGCCTTTCCAACACTCCCAGCCACATTGCGCTGGGATTCATCGCCCCCAAAGAACCATACGGACCAGCCCCATTGCGCTTGAACATGACGAACCACCCTGGGTACAAGAACAGAGCTTCTGGCGCCTTGTTTCCCCCTGCCCCCCAACTCTACTACCGGACAACTCACGCAAGCACAAGAGGTGAGGGACACAGGTGTTGGCTGCTCCTGCATCTCTATGGCAAAAGCCCACTGCCAGAGTTAAAAGGCTTAGGAGAACGTGTCTGTTGGCTAGGCTCTCTAGGAAACATGGTCCCCAACCCATCAGAGATCCAACCTGTAGACTTGCAGACAATGCATTTCCCAGGAGACACAGGGCTTCCCTGTCGCACCACCAGGGCCACCCGGAAATGTTCAAGGACCTGCTAAAGGTTGCTGGCTGGAGAATCCAGGGCTCTCTGTGAAGTTTGTTGAGGGCCAGGCGCTGTCCCCGGCTCTGAACAAATGAGCCCTGAAGCCAGACGGGCCCAGGTGTGCCTAGTCTCTGCTATGCAATGCCTGCAAGACTGCCAGTGGATGCAGTGACTGTGGATGCAGTCCACGTGACTACTCTTTCCACCCACTGGGACCTGGCCTCAACAACTCCAACCTGGTCACCTGCTTCCTTCAGCTGCTGCACCGTACTCAGCCTCCATCAGGGATACTCCTTCCGCCTGGTCCTTAGGCCCTTACAAACCACCCCACCATACTGGGCTGCATCTGTCAAGCCCTTCTGTAATGTGTGGCATTTTGAAATGACAAGCTTCCTGATTGTCAGGAAGGTTCCTGAAGATGAAGTCTGAGACACCATTTCCCTAGAAAGCCTACCCTATTATGTTCTGCCCTCTGTCCCCAGCTTGGTGGGGGTCCATCCTGAGTTATCTGTCATAGCCTTGTCACATAGAATGTAACAACCTCTAGACTGGAAGCTCCTGAAGTTGGTCTCACTCACTCACCCTGAAATCCACACCTAGCACACTACAAGTGCTCATAAACTGTGCAATCAACCCAGTCTGTCACTAGAATCCTAAGAAAAACTTCCCTTCTCCTCATCCCTCTTACCACTCTCCCCAGAAAAGCAAGCAAGGGGCCTCATCTGACCTTTCTCCCAGTAAGGCTGGCCCTGCAAGCTACTGGCCCCCGCCCATGTGATGTGTTGACAACAAGCCCATCAATGCAATGTTAGCTGGAACAGAGACAGCAGGAATCCTTTCTCCCATCTTTATTTCTCAGCACGCGCACCCATGTGCGTGTGCACACATGTGCAGACATATGCAGGCACCTGTGTTGAAAGGAGTCCAGGAGCCCAGACATCCCTGTCCCACCACCTGTGGCTCATCCAGCTAGAGCACAAAAACACCTTCGATTGCTGACTGTCTGTGGTTTGGTGGCCTAAGTGGTGTTTCGGCAGTCAGGTGGACACCCCATGATGCCTGCTGTTACAGTTTGGGGGACAGGAAAACAAACCGGAATACGGGATGATAACACAGTCAGGAGGTGTTCATCAGAATTAGAGCTTTGGGTCTAACCTCCGAGGCTGGGCTATAACCAATGCACTGGGAGCTAACTCTGAGGTGAACAATGAGCTCTTAGGAGTGGATGGTATTTTCCAAAGAGCACCAGAACCGGGAGACTATCAGAATCACAAAAAGCTCAGCCTCGGAGGTTGGAGGGAAACCAAGACACCATGCCACAGACATTCAGGGAAGAAAACATTTCCAGACCAAGGAAGTGATTCCTGGTATCAAAAGTCACAGTGAACCAAAGTGCTCTGCCACTGAGACAACTGATGCCATGGAAGCCAGAAGAGGTGAGGATGGCATGAAAAGTGAGAAAGTACATTCCCCGAGCAGGAAACCCTCATCTAAGTTGGCTAGGAAGGGTAACAATGGTACAGGGAGTGAGAGGTCAGGTTTGGAAAATGGGGGAGGCTAGTCTCACTTCCGGCCCCTCACCATAAGGAAAGCCACCCTGGAAGGCTATGCAGGGCAACTACCATACTACAGGGTGTATCTCTGTCACGTGTAGGGCACTTCTGGATCCTGCATCTCATCTGCTAATCATAAAACACCACCCTTCTGTTCCCCAAGCCTGGAGTTCTGGGTCACCATACAAAGACTGTATGAGATACGAGAACCATGGGGGAGAAGTAGCAGTATCTGAACTCCAGAAACAAAACATCATTAGATAGAACTCATGTGAGGTCAAGCTCAAGCCCTAAATCATACAGGACCGCCAGAGGTCTGACCTTCAGGACCTGTGCCCTTAGCCACTTGCCCACCCTCTATGGGCCCCACTTGGAGCAATGGCAGGCTTCCTGCCAACTCCCTTGCTGCCAGCACTGCAGGGCCTTCTGAGGATGCAGCTGCCCGAGCCTGTCGCCTCCTTTCCCGGTGCAGCTCCCGGAGGCAGGCAAGAGCACAGTGGACACCCCGGGAGACCCGAAGGCTGCGCTCCCGGTTTGGATCATTCTCTACGAGGACCTGTAAACCAGCAGCAAAGTGAGACAGGGCCTGGGCGAGATGCTCAGGGCTCAGAGCACCCACACCAGCTTCCTCAGTCCCTGGACCCACCACGGCCTCTGTGAAATTTGGCTCTTGTTTTCTAGAGACCGGGCCACTCCCTGCCTCCCAGGACAGCCCAGAACCACTCATGTTCCCATCCTTTGCATCCTGCAGGGTGCTGTGGGGTGGGGGCTCCCCGTGGGCCTGCAGCAGGCTGGCCACATCAGCCTCAGCTGCATCTCCAAGGCCCACATGCCTAGCTAGTGCCACAATGCTGCGGCGGAGCTGAGGCACAGTGTCAGGCTCGGGAGTGCCAGCAGGGACACACTCAGGCCAGAGCTTCCGCCAGGCACTGTTCATGGTGGCAGGCTGCAGCTCTGCCCAGGCTTCGGCTATGTTGTCCACAGCAGTTACGACAGTATAGCTGCGCCAGAACTCCCGCACAGAGGGCCGGTCTTCACCAGTCGTCTCCTGGACCAGCTGGCTGAGCGTGCGGCGCAGATAACAGGCCTTGAATGTGGCAATGACACCCTGGTTCATGGGCTGGATCAGGGCCGATGTGTTCTTGGGCAGGAACTCAACTCTCACGTGGGCTGAGAGGCCACCCAGGTGAGCGGGGTGGCAGGGTGCGCCATCCAGGAGCAACAGGGCGCGGTGTGGGAGGCCATGGCTGGCACAGTAGCTCTCCACGGCGGGACAGAAGCAGCCAGTAAACCACTCCTGGAAGATGCTGGGTGTCAGCCAGTCATTGCGGTTGGAGCGCCAGACTACAGGGAGGCTGGCCTTGGAGCAGCCTTTGAGGGCACGTGGATTCTCCGAGGGGTACACTAGCAGAGGCTTCAGTTTGAAGTCACCAGCTGCGTTGCCACCAAGCAGCAGGGTCAGGTGGTCCTTAGAGGCCTTGAAGCCAGGCCCAGCTGCCCCCTCCAGTGCCAGCAACATGCGCTCTGGCAGCCGCTTCCAGAATAGGCCTGTCTCATCCACGTTGAAAACCTGGCGTGGGGAGTAAGAGCCCTCCTCCAGAATGGTGCGCAGCATTGGGGGATAGTGGGCAGCAGCCTGGGTGTCAGCCACGGCTGGCTCGTCTGTCAAAAGCACATTGTTGCGAGCCTTGAACCGGGCGAACCAGCCGTTACTGGCCCCAAAGGTCTCAGCCTGAGTGCCACTGCCCTGCTCATGCTGCAGCTGCACAAAGAGCCGCCGTGCCTTGTCCTGGATGAGCAGTGTGCTGATGGGCAGGTTCTGCTGCCTTTGCTCCTCAATCCATAGACTCAGTAAGCGTTCCATATGGCCCATCACCACACCCCGGCAGCGGGTCAGCTGCGTGGCACTGACAGGTGTAGCTGCCTGAGAATTGGCCCGGATCTTGTCCCTGTTGACACGGATTGAGGCAACGGTAGAGGTGGCTAGCCCCAGGGCCCGGGCAATCTGCGTCAGCTTCTCGCCTTCCTCAAACCTCCGAAGCACCTCTAACTTCATATGCAGGGTGATGGACTTTCGGTCCCGCTTCGCACTGTGGCGGAGGCCAATCCCACCAAGGGGTGCCTTCCCCGACACCTGCAGCCGGGAAGTTGTCTTCATTCCGCCTCCCTGAGCCACGCACCTTGATGAAGTCTCTCCACAGCAGCTACCAGTGTGCCCACGAGGGCAGCCTCCTGGCCTCTCCTGCCACACGTGCATCTGCCTGTAGGACAGGGACACATGGACATTAATGTGTGCACATATGGAAGTCCCAACCATCAGTTGGCCTTTCCACGCTCTGACACAGAGCACCCAGCTCTGCTGACCACTGCCTCAGAAGTGTGCCCAGTCCCTTCTTTCCCTACTGCTAAAAACACTGCACACTCACTTCCAAGTATCCTTTGCATCTAGAGGAGCACGTCACTTAGTTTTAGCTTATGAGATCAAGAGAAATCTGCGAGGAGACTGCTCTCTTCCCCTAGCAAACCTCTTGCAACCACAAGACAGTCTGGAAACCTTGGCCCACCTCCCAGACACTGAGGAGCAAATAAGCTACCCATTTCCACGCTTCTCATCCTTTTCATGCTTCAGACATCAGTGTGGGTTGCTGAATAATGGCTACGAAGGACATCCACATCCTAATCCCTATGAATAAATTACCTTACCTCGCAAAAGTGACATTGTGGGTGTGATTAAGTGAATAATCTTGAGATGCGAAGATTATCCTGGGTTATCCAAATGGGGCCTAAATGTAGTCAGAGGAGGCAAAAGATTTCACTCAGAAGGCAATGTGATCACTGAAACCTAGAGGCTACAGAAGGAACCAGCCCTGCTCATACCTTGCTTTCAGCCCACTGAGACACATTTCAGACTTCTGACCTCCAAGACTCTAAGATAATACATTTGTGTTCTTTTAAACCACTCATGTTTTTAGTAATATGTTACAGCAGTCCCAGAAAACTAACACAGAAGGGAACCAACCTAATTTGTGCCACAAACTATGGAGCATCTGGGAAGAAGAGGATGGCGGTTCTCCACACAGCAGCCACAGAGATCCAGTAAGAACTAAGATCCATCTTCCCTCTGCTCAGAGCCCTCCCAGCTCTGAGGAAGAGTCACAATCGTCACCAAATCCTTCATTGCCTTAAAGCCCCTTCTTTTACTTTGCTCCCTCCTGTCCACATCCTTGGGGCAAACTAAGGGTGCTCCTGACTCAGGGGCTTGCTCCTGTTTCCTTCAGCCCATGCAGGGCCTGGGCACCTCCGATATCTGCATGGCTTGTTCCCTGTCCTACAGATCTCTGCTCAAATGTAACCTGATCAAAAAGGCCCTCCCCCCTACATTTTATTATGTATCTGTCACACGCTGCTTGAAGGCAGGAGCTGAGTCGGCTGAGTGCTCCCTTGTGTCCCCAGACCCAAAAATAGTGAATCCAGTGGTCGCTAGCTGATGAAACTATTAAATGCAGTACAGCGGTGGGAGGCAGACTTTTCACCTTGTCCCGTTTGCATTTTGAGCCATGTAAAATTAGCACCTGATCAAACACTTAAAAAAAAAAAAAAAAAGAGTGCGTGTGAAAACATGGGACAAATGACTGACAGGTGTGTTTCTGCAGTGGCTATGGTATTGTTACCTTCAGGGATCCACGGGCTACACATGCCTTAAAACAAGGTAGCACATGCCACAGGACCCCCAAGCCTGGGAGGCAGGGAAAGGTAGATGGACATGAGAAAGGCTCCTCTTGCTTATCTGAACCTGTCACGCACCGCGCCATCCATGCCTTCCTCTGCTCACCCACAGTTTTAAATTAATTCACTCACATACTCATTCATTCATTCATTCCTTCCCTCCCTCCCACCCACTAAAGCCTCCAAACCCGCCCCCTGTGGAGGCTCGCTGTCCAATGTCTGGGTGGAAGACAGGGCTCGTCCCTTTAAGACTACATTTCCCAGAAAGCCGCGGGACGCTGCAATCTTCGATTGGCCCATTCGCGCTCGTCCCGGGCTGCGCGCGCAGCGGCCTCTCCATTCCTTCTCGCCGTTTGGGATTGAGAGAAACTGCGCGCCAGACCCCAGCACGGGAGCCCCGGCCCCCGCGCGGCCAACTGCCCTCACCTCCGGACCGCGAGGCGGGCCGGCTGCTTCAGCTGGGCGGGTGGGGCTGTGGTTCTTCCCCATCTTCCGCCTTTACAGCGCCTCTTTCCGGAGGCTGCCGAGCTCAGCCTCCATGTTGTCGGCGGAGGCGGAAGATTGCCGGCGACTGCCGAGACTGGATTAGTTAGTCCGCGCGCGGCCAGTCCTCGACAGCGCTCTGGGCCTTGCGCGCTGCGCTCGCGGCCGGCCGGGAAATGTAGTTCGACGTCGAGGATGCTACGCGCAGAGTCCAGGCGGGGGCGCCGTTGACCGTCTCTGCCCAAAACTGGCTTTCTGTTTACTTTCTCTCGAATTTTTCCCGCCGCCTGCTTTCTGTCTTTCCATTATCCTCCCTACCTCCTTCCATTCCAATCTTTGTCTCTTTCCTCTTCCTCCCAGTTTGTGCCTCATCCTGGAGAATTAATTCCGCTCAGACTGCCAAATAATTTTTTTAAACTCAAGGAGTACCTAGCAAACAGTTATTTGGCTCATAGAGGGAACTACCAGGATGACATAGGTGGTTCCGGGAAGATGAGAAATGACAGGGTAAAAGAAATAAGGAACACTGAAATTAAAGCTCAAAGTCGAATTAGTGCCCTACATGGGAAGCAGGCCTGGGCGTCTGAGTGTCCTAAGGTTGATACAACTCTTAATGCCAAGCATTTGCAACCTGGCCTCTGATCTAAAGAGAGAAAGAGTTACTTCTTTTAGAGAGGCAGATGAGCTGAAGGGGTCTTGGAAGACAATTAGGAAACGCAGAGAGGGTCCCCAGCCATCCTTTTTTGCCCTATTGGCAATTTTGGGATAAGTATTCCTAACAGGTCTCCCTCCAACTGTCTCTTCTTGCCATCTGTCCCCCTTCTCTAGGTCTTGGAAAACTCTTAGTCCATCTGACTGTATCTCTAAGTTCTGTCCCTTTCCCTACTCTTGCCTCTGTATGTCTGTATTCCTTATCTGTCTCTTTAATCTCGATATCTGCACCTCTTTGTGAATCTATTCTCCCTGTCCCACTTTGTCTCTCCTTTCATATCCATCCCTTCCTGATCTCCTTCCCTCTTGCTAACTTTTCTGACACTCCTGTCTACCCGGCCCTGACTCTGATTCTCTGGCTCCTTACCACATTCTCTAGGTCTCTGAAAGGAGAAATACCTCCCCGTTGACTTTCTTTCCTACCGGTGTCTCGGTCTCTGTATCTGTTCAATTACTCTCACTGTCTCTCCTCGAATCTCTCTCTGTCCCCGAGGGGGCCTTCATAGGCTCTGGGTCTCTCTCTGCCCAACAGTCTTCGCGTCTGTCTTTCCTCACGGTCTCGCTCCGCTTCTCTGCTCCGGTCCCCTCCCCAAGCCCTTACCCCACCTCCCCCATCGCCTCTCGAACGGCCACCGGGTCCCCGGGGTTGCGCTGGAGACCTACTGGTCAGCCCAACCGGATACTATGGAGACGCCCCGGCCCGCCCACCGCTCATGAACACAAAGGAATATCGTCGCGCTGCGCGAACGCGCACCGAGGTCTCAGCCTTCTACGCTTCCCAGAAAGCCCGGGGCCAAGTCTCTCCCGAACCTGCCGTCCCGGTGGGCGATGGAGGACGTGCCTCTTTTTGTGCAGAACGTTGCCTTGGAGACGTGGGTTGACTGCGCCCTAGCGAGGGCGATGATTGGTGCGGAACCCTGCTAATCCCAGGAATACCCGTAAAGAATCGAGGACAACGTGGTTGCGGGCATGCGCAGTTGGGAAGGCGGTGCTGGTGTCCGATGCACCCCGAGAACCCTGCGCACGTCGACGGCTCACGGACGCCTGGATCTGAGCGCGGGAGAGGCACCCGGGCGTGTGATCTGATCGTTGCGAACGCTACACCGGGGAGCAGGGGAGGAGGGTGGAAAAGGAGGCGAGGGTGGGGGGAGGGCTAGGTGGCACTCGGGCTGAATGCGTGGAGCATTCTGGGAGACAGAGTCCGTCCGGGGAGGGGGAAGTCGGCGATTGCGCATGCTTAGGAGCGCGGAGCGGCCCGCTGAGTGTGGAGGTGAGGGCGGGGACCTCTCAAAGCGGAAGGCTTGGGCGGGGACCGGGGCGGCGACCGCGGACTCTCGGATTCTGGCTACCCAGCGGGAGTGCGGTGCAGGGACCGAAGCAGTCCCTCTCGGCGAGCCCGGTGCTGTCGCGAGACGCGTGTCTAGTCACCGCATTGCCACAGCGGCAAGCTCTCGGAGCCCCGCCCCCGCCTGGTTACCCTGGCGGCAGTAGACCTGCCCTGGGAGTGGGGAGAAGGCGCTCTCCAAAGTGCGAGTTGACCTCCAAAATTTCTGGTAAATGTAGTACAGAAACCTTCGCAGAGGCTGGCCGCCTTAAAAATGATCCAGCCTTCTCCCAGCGTTTCGGGTTGACCCGGAACCTTGAAAGGAATTTGACTCACGGGATCAGGCGACCCTGGAAATGGATTCTACTCATGTAATAAAGTCAGATTTCTTCACAAACCCCGCACATTAACACCAGCTGCAAAAGGAGCAGCAGTGGCGGGGGGGGGGGGCGGGGGGGGGGTGTATGGCGTCCCCACTTACGGGGGACGGTAAGGATGGGGAAACTGAGGTTCAGAGAAGCTAACCTAGGTTATGTAGCAAATAGGCAAGCTATCCGCCCTTGCTTGCAAGCCCTCGGTCCAGTTGTCTTGGGGCCTTTGTGGGCCCCCTGGAAGCTCCCCCATCAACTCCTAACCCTGCCTAAATCAGGAAGCTGAAGAGACGATGGGGCATTGCGTGGTGTGATAATTTTAGCTAGCTCAGAATGGAGCTGAATGGGGGTGTGGGGGAATGCTCCCTGGAGGCTTGGCCACACAGCTGACTTTGCCCGTGCTGGGGAGGAGAGGTGGAGGGAGGCTGCTCTGTAGAACCAAGTTGAGAAGGGACTGAGAGACTAGATGGGAGAGTGGGTGTGCAGTGATGGACTGGTGTTCGGAGTGGCGTGGGGAGGAGGGTAGTGGTGCATATTTGCGCCCAGGCAGTGGATGTTGTAAATGTTATTTACCTGACAGAGGGAGAGCCACGGGGCAAAGATGACGTGGTGCATGTAGAAGGACAAGAGTTAGAGGAGAGGGAGTACCTTCTATTCCTAAGAAGCACCTTGTGTTTGGAGCAGGAGGATACCAGAGACTAGGTCCCAGCGAGAGACCAGAGACTCGGGTGCCTGGCTTGTGACCATCTCTCTGTGCCCCAGTTTTCTTATCTGCCTTCCATTCGGTGCAGGTCTGAAGACGGAACACGACAGCATACAGTAGGTGCTTAGTAGGCATCTGCTGCCACTGTTTGTCTTCCTTGCAGCAGCCGCCTCCTGTTCCTCCCCCAGGGCAAGACACTGTCCTCGGAGCCCCCAGCGCAGTCTTTCCAATGAGGCCTGCAGCACTAGGCTCCCCAGGTCCCACATCCTTGGAAGATGAGCAGCCTGTCATGGTGAAGCTGGAGGACTCAGAGGAGGAGGGCGACGCTGCCCTGTGGGATCCCGGCCCAGAGACTGCACGCCAGCGTTTTCGACACTTCCACTATGAGGAGGCAGTGGGTCCCCAAGAGGCCCTGGCCCAGCTCCGGGAGCTGTGCCGCCAGTGGCTACAGCCAGAGGTGCACTCCAAAGAGCAGATGCTGGAGCTCCTGGTCCTGGAGCAGTTCCTGGGCGCCCTGCCGCCTGAGATCCAGGCCTGCGTGGAGGGACAGCGGCCAGGCAGCCCTGAAGAAGCAGCTGCCCTGGTCGAGGGGCTTCGCCGGGAGCCAGGAGGGCCCCGGAGATGGGTGAGTCAGTGGCCCTGAGCCAGTGTCCCGGCTGGAACGGTATCCAGCTCTGTCCCCCCTTGGGGAGTACTGAGCTCAGCCAGACACCTGTTCCTTGTAGTTTGGAAGAGGTCACCTGCAGGAGACCTTGCATGAGCATAGACAGGTTTCCCGGGTCAGCCTTGTTCGTCCATCCCTACATCTCCTGGAGTCATGGACATGGGAAGGGATCCACAGTGGGGAGAGAGGGGGACCACTGGGCATTCGTGGATGTCCACAGCAGGAGAGTAACTCCAGGTGGCCCTTTCACTCCTGGCTCAGTCCTGGAAGGAAGTGGGTCCTTGGATAACGGAGTAGGTCAGGACCTCTTGGGGTCCTGTGATGGGGTGGGTGCCCATGAGTCCCCTGCTTGTGCAAAGCCCAACTCTCTTGGGCTCGATGTTCGGGGCACCTCCCCAGGTCACAGTCCAAGTACAGGGTCAGGAGATGCTATCAGAGAAGATGGAACCCTCCAACTTCCAGCCCCTCCTTCAAACCAAGCCACAGACTCCAGAACGTGGACCTGGGACACCATTTGAAGCCACACAAGGGTCACCACTCGGCCTTCAGGTGAAAGAGGAGCCCATGGTTACAGAGGACCCAGGTGAGGGCAGGCAAGGTATGCATGGCCCAAGGCCTGATTGGGTGGACCAGAAGGGCCTGGCCCAACAGCCTAAAGGTCCCCTGCTGGATGGAACTGTTCATTTGCCCTGGTGGCCCCCACATCCTGCCTAGCCAGTGGCCATCACTACTCCTTACATGCCAAGTCTGACTGTCACAACTGTGTTTTTCTGCTCTCCCTTGGCATGGAGGAGTAGGCTCTTGGGATTTCTGTGTGTGTGAGGCATGTGAGGTTCACTCCCCAGGGGGATCCATTAGAAGACGATAGCAATTCTCTGGAGAGCAGGCAGCAGGCTTGAATGTGGGTTGGTGTGACTAAGGAAGGACCCCAGGGTGTTGGGAGGCATGCCCCTCCCGATTTTACTCCTTCCAGGCGGATGCCAAAGTTGGCCTCCCACACCGTCCATCATTCCTCTGTGGACCCTAGTACCATCCTCCTCTCCATCCTCACTGGCCATCCTACTTAGGATTCGTGCAGGAGTACAGGGCACAGCCCTGAGCTTGTCTCGTCTTGGTGCAGCTTCTCCGATGGCCTTCCAGGGGGCTTTGCTTTACTCCACCCCCAAGCTGAGCCCTTAGAGATGCCCAGCCATGCCCAGCCCCAAGCTTGGATTCCAGTGTCTGGCATACCACTGAGGAGGGCAGTGGGGTGGGGACACTCTTGAGCCACCTGACCCCAACCTTCCTCTACAGAGCTTCTGGATTCTGGGCCTCTAGCCAATCCCCAGGAAGCCACTTCCACTCTCCTGCCTAAAGAGGCCCAGGTGAGCCCCATACAGACCGTGCCCACCTCCCTGTCTGGGGAACCTCAGTGGATGGGGGTCAGATAGGTCCCTCCCTGGGCCTAGCTGGGCACAGATGAACAATGACCACTGTGGTTTCAGGGTTGTGAGATAGTGCTGGACCAGGCCTCTGCCCACAACGAGACTGGGCTTGAGGGGCCTTCGTGGAGGGAGCATCCTGGGGCCCTGTGGCAGGAGGAAGCTGGGGGCATCTTCCCTCCAGGTGAGTGAGATGGGGCATGGCGGGACTAGGCCCTCTGCACGGCAGCAGCACATCCACTCACCCCACTCCTGGTCCTGCTCAGGTGGCTCTCTCATTCCAGCGTCTCCCAGCTCCTCCATTCTGTGGACCATCCCCTGCAGCATAGAACTTTCAGCATCTCCTGCCCTCATAAGTCAAGCCCTCAGCCAACTTCATGTTCCCTCCGGCTGCTGCGCCCCACCATAGTAAAACCTCCCTAGAGCGGGGCTTGTATTCCCCACACCCCCATCCTCTCCCAGCCCTCACATCCTGGATGGATTCTGGGTGTGCATCCCACTGACTGGATAGTGGCGGAGGGAGGGTCTGGATCTGGCAAGGACAGGTTAGTAGAGAGTGGGCAGGAAGGACCTTGACACTGGCTGAGGATCAGGCAGGACAGGAGACTAGAGGCCTTCTGCGGTCCACCTGAGCTACACCACTCTTGGTCTGCCATCATCCAGTCTCCCTGCCTCTTCTTTCTTGTTTCCTGGACCCCTTCTTTTTCTTGGTTTACTCCCTTGTTTTGGGGGAACTTCCTGCAAATTCTGGTATGGGAGATACCATGCTACATTGCTAAAATACACTTATCTAACACTCTATATTAGGCTAGTTAGGCTGCTTGAAGAATTCTTTTTATTCAGTTTCAAAGCTTCATCATCATCATCATTGGTGAGTCCTTTCAACTTGAAATCCGTATCTCTCAATGTTGGGAAACTGCCTTGAATGGTTTCTCTTTTTCTTTCCCTCCATTGTTTTGTTTCCTTGTTTCTGGTACGCCTATTACCTGGTTCTTGGTTATATTGCTTCCTCAGTATGGTCTCCTGCCCTCAACCCAGCCTTTTGCCAGGATGGGAGAAGAGATCCAGGGATCAGAGCTACAGCAGTGCCCACTAGTTGCTCAGAATTCCGTGAAGACATCCCGGGTCCGTTCCGTTCAGCAGTCCAACCCAGCTGCTTCTGAACAGCCTCCCCATCCTGCTTAGTGCCCCTGCCGCTTCACCTCCGTGGCCAGAGCTACCTGCTACCTCCAGCTCTTGAACTTCTCAAGTCTTCTTTGGGGTCAGTCAGGGTCTGGGTGTTTTTGTTTTTTCCATTTTCCTTAATACTGGCTTAGTGTGCACTTTCTCCAGTCAGCTACACAGTTATTATTTGTCCCTTAGCTTTCCTGAATAGAAAATGTTAGCGGTTTGTTTCCTCTTCTCTTCACCTTTGTGGATTTTATGCCTTGAAAAACAAAAAAAAAACCTTGTTGCGGTTTCTACTGTTATTTCAGGAGAACAGAGTTAAATAGCTACCTTTATTACCTCTAAATCTCCATTTGCTATGTTTTTTGTCAGTAAGGATCCTTTCATTCTTTTTTCATAATGTCCTTGTTTCATGGATGCTGATTTGGGATTTGGACATACTTTAGTGTCCTTCCCAGACTGTGTAGCAGCATTTGGGATGCTGATTTTGAGGATTTGGACATACTTTAGTGTCCTTTCCAGACTGTGTAGCTAGTTTAGTTTCTTCAAGTGTGAATTCTCCAGCTGGTTGCACTGTTGACAGTATGCCCTTCATAGCTGTAGGAGCTTCTTGTTTGTCCCTGCCCTAAGCATCATGCTAGGTAAGAAGATCCATCATAACCTTGAAGTGGAAGTATCATCTGGGCCCAGGATATTCAGTGAAGATACTTCTGGAGCCCAGCCAAAACCAAGCATCTTATTCCTGGTCAGGTCTATGGGCGGAGTGAGCTAACTCAGCTCGTGTCCTCAACCCTCAGCTTCTTGACAGAGCCTGGCTTTGGACCTAGGCACTAAAGCCACAAGGGCTTTAGAGCTCACTATGTGGCTCTGGATTCCTGAGCTTCAGCAACTGTCCTTTCTTCCTTTGGAGCTGTCCAAAATATTTTTAAATATCTTCTCAGATTCTGTTGTCATTTCTGCATGTTGGAGCTGAGAGAGTAGAATCTGGCACAACCCTAATCTGCTGTTTTAGTCTTAAAGTGGCTGGCCAGGCTGGGCCTTGTGCTTTGTGGCTGACCACTGCCTCTAACTTGGACCTGCTTCTCTCTCAGTTCACAGCCCCACAGTCTTTCAGCTTTCTCCATCCACACTGGCAGCACTACCTCAGACACTTTCTCGGGTTCCTTCTTTGTATCCATAATCTCTCTGTAGACAACCACAGTTCTCGCCTTCAAATACTGATTCCCTTCAGCTACCTTGGTCTCCATTCAGGACTCCTGGCTGCTCCTCCTTGCCCCTCAAATGAACATCTGGGCAGCCAGTGTTTTCATCATAATATTTTAAATTTTTTTTTTAATGTTTTATTTATTTCTAGGCGAGAGAGAGAGACAGCATGAGCAGGGAAGGGTCAGAGAGAGAGGGAGACACAGACTCTGAAACAGGCTCCAGGCCCTGAGCTGGCAGTCAGCACAGAGCCCGAGGCGGGGCTCGAACCCACGAACCATGAGATCATGACCTAAGCGAAAGTCGGACGCTTAACCGACTAAGCCACCCAGGCGCCCCTCATCATAATATTTTAAATAGCCAATATATTCACATGTTAGAAAATTCATTAAAATTTTTTTTAAATGTCATATTTATTTCTGAGAGAAAGAGACAGCGTAAGCAGGAAGGGGTCAGAGAGAGGGGGAGATACGGAGTCTGAAGCAGGCTCCAGGCTCTGAGCTAGCCGTCAGCACAGAGCCCGACACGGGGCTCGAAACCACAAGCCATGAGCCAAAGTCAGACGCTTAACCAACTGAGCCACCCAGGTGCCCCTCATGTGTTAGAAAATTCAAAAGGCACAAGGGAGTGTACACTGGAGTGCCCCTCCCCTGCCTGTGTTACACAGTCTTGTTCCTCAGCAGCCATCATTACCATCTTTTTGTTTCTTCTTCCAAAAAGATTTTGTGCATAAAAGAGCAAACACAAATTCAGGTACATACTTGTTTCTCTTTAAAACACATCTGAATGCCTAATCACCATGTTTCACATCTGACATTTCTTTGTGCATATTCCCACTTCCAACACACAGCAGCAAGTGCCCTCGTCTATGGACAGCTGCATAGAGCCCCACTGTGGCTCAGTCTGAACACACTTGTATATCCATCCTGGCTCCTACTTACATTCCTTTGGGTGGACTTCCAGTGATGAACTGAAAAATCTCACATATAGATCATTTTGAACAGTGGGAAACACAACTACTGAAGTGCATAAAAGTGAAATTGCTGATCAGAGTGTGAGAAATTTGCCATTTTAAGTTTTGCCACACTGCCTTCCCATTTTGCTTATCAGCAAGGCATGCAAACATTTGGGTACCTCCAGGGAGGGTGTGGAAATGGTAGATGACTACAATGCTAATATTCAGTTTTCTTATTAGGAGTGAATTGAGCATATTTTATGGGATTTTCCTTTACTGTTCACCTCCTTTGTCTGTGTGTCAGGTCAGTGGTCTTGTTGATTAACTGGAGCTCTTAGAAGCTTAATTAGCCCTTTGCTTCTGGAGAATCTCATTCATTTTTTGGCTCTAAGGTTGTCATTGCTGTGCACAAATGATTTCCTTCGATGCAGTATAATTTATGACTTTGACAACTTAATGGATTTTCTGTCACCCACTGAAGCCCTTGCTATTCTCTTAGTCTACTTGCAGCCTTCCTCTTTCTCTAGTCCCTGCTTCTCAGTTGTACTTGCTCACACCTCCTTCCTCACACAGCATCTAATGCTTGAGTGCTCACAGCGTGGCTAAGACCGGCTACTTCTTTCCATAGACACCCACTCTTATTGATCACACACAGGGCCAGGGCTCTGTGTGCCATGTATATGCCACAGCTCCCATGTTCATATTTACCTGCAAACTGAGCCCCAGCTCCTGAGCCCCACAGCCTGCATGTAGCCTTTGCCCCTCAGATACCCTATGCACATCTCACGCAAGGCACATCAGACCAGTCATGCGGCCTGACCCACTCCCATCCCATCCCTGCTACCTTCCTGTTGGCTCCACTCCCGGCCTCCCTCTGACCCACCCATTTCTGTGTACTTGTGGAAACCATCATCACCTAATGCAAGGGCCACCTGGACCAGTTTTGCCCTGCCACCCTTCCAGATAGGTGATTTTTGCAAGCTTAAGCCAGGCTTAAAAGCTTGCCCCCAACTTCTGAATCTTCTTCCTCATGCAAGGTTCTGTCCCACTGTCACCTCCTTAGGAAAGCACAGATAGAATCCTTGCCCCTCCCCTTGTTACCTCTGTCTGCCTCACTGGCTAGTTTCAGGTCCCTCTAGTTCACACTCTTTCCCACGGGCTGGAGTGGGTCGGGAGCACAGTTCTCTCGGCATGCATGAGTGGATCCCCTTGTGCAATGCAGGGTTTTCACTCCAGATGGAAAGCGTCTCTGCTGGCCCTGGCACTGTGAGCCCCCACCTCCGTATCCCCTGGGACCTGCGCATGGTTGGCCTCACGGACCAACTCCGGTCACCCTCCCATGAAAGTGGCTTCTCACATGCACTCCTGCTCCCCAGTGGCCCAGGAGGTGAGCAGAACCCCACAAATGAGGGTTCCCGCCAGCTTGTGAGCCCTTTGTTAGCCACAGCCCGCTGGCGTGCCCCCAGGGGCCGGGGCCGGGGCCGCCCCAGCACAAGCCCCGGGGCGGGGCGAGGTGGCCATTGTGACGTGTGCGGGAAGGTGTTCAGCCAACGCAGTAACCTACTGAGGCACCAGAAAATACACACAGGAGAGCGGCCGTTCGTGTGCAGCGAGTGTGGCCGGAGCTTCAGCCGAAGCTCGCACCTTCTGCGCCATCAACTCACACACACTGAGGAGCGGCCGTTTGTGTGCAGCGACTGCGGCCAGGGCTTCGTTCGCAGCACGCGCCTGGAGGAGCACCGGCGCGTGCACACAGGCGAGCAGCCCTTTCGCTGTGCCGAGTGCGGCCAGAGCTTCCGGCAGCGCTCCAACCTGTTGCAGCACCAGCGCATCCACGGCGACCCCCCGGGCCCCGGCGCGGCGCCCCCTGCACCTCCCGGCGCGCCCGAGCCCCCAGGCCCTTTCCCCTGCAGCGAGTGCCGCGAGAGCTTCACGCGGCGCGCGGTGCTACTAGAACACCAGGCAGTGCACACGGGTGACAAATCCTTTGGCTGCGTGGAGTGTGGCGAGCGCTTCGGTCGCCGCTCCGTGCTGCTCCAGCACCGGCGAGTACACAGTGGCGAGCGGCCCTTCGCCTGCGCGGAGTGCGGCCAGAGCTTCAGACAGCGCTCCAACCTCACGCAGCACCGGCGCATCCACACCGGCGAGCGGCCCTTTGCCTGCGCCGAGTGCGGCAAGGCGTTCCGCCAGCGGCCCACGCTCACGCAGCACCTGCGCGTGCACACAGGCGAGAAACCCTTTGCCTGCCCCGAGTGTGGCCAACGCTTCAGCCAGCGCCTGAAGCTCACGCGCCACCAGCGGACGCACACCGGGGAGAAACCCTACCGCTGTAGTGAGTGCGGCCTGGGCTTCACGCAGGTCTCTCGGCTCACCGAGCACCAGCGCATCCACACGGGCGAGCGGCCCTTCGCATGCCCTGATTGCGGCCAAAGCTTCCGGCAGCACGCCAATCTCACACAACACCGGCGCATCCACACAGGCGAGCGGCCCTACGTGTGCCCGGAGTGCGGCAAGGCGTTCCGCCAGCGGCCCACGCTCACACAGCACCTGCGTATCCACCAGCGTGAGAAGCCCTTTGCCTGCCAGGACTGTGGCCGCCGCTTCCACCAGAGCACCAAGCTCATCCAGCACCAGCGCATCCACAGTGCCGAGTAATCGGCGCTCACGGTCCCCCTTCTGTGCATCCTCCTCTTTTGGCCTTTTGTTGGGAGGAGGAGAGTGTGAGTGTGTGTGTGTGTGTGTGTGTGTGTGTGTGTGTGTACGCGCGCACGCAGAACACTTACCTCACAGGATTGTTGTGAGGGTTGTGATCAAGCTTAGGTATAAGTGGGCCCCCCCCAGGACCTGGCCCCCCCAGTAGGTGTTCAATAAACAACAGACAGAACCTGGCTCTGGGTATCCACCCACTCAGTGCCACCCCACCTGGATGGCTCCCTCTATCCCCCCCACCCATCCACTCCTTCAACAACCACACAGTCTCTGTGAGAGCCATGGCCCCCTGCAGAGGTGATGCCTAACAGCACCTCGTGGGTGCCACTTTGTACCATGCCTACTGATGCCTTCAGCCTGTACAACCGTGGGCCAAGTCAACTACCAGGTGAGGACTGGCCCAGTTTTCCCCACCCAGCCAAGATCATCAGATGCAACATAAGTTGCAAACTGGTGTCCAGCAGGCCAGAGCTAGGGGTATGTTTGTAAAACTTTAAACCTAGTAAGTCATTTCTTAGGCATTAAAGCTGGAAGGTTTTATCTAGAAATCTAGGTTTTTCATGTATGTTAACTACCATCAGGTGGTCAGGTTAGGTTCCCTTTAGGATAGGACCCCAGCCAATCTGGAAATTGAAGTCCACTGGCCCCAGGCCAGTTCCCTAGCCCTCTAATAACCATTCACATTCCATGGGCCACAGTAGCCACCAACCCTGGCCAGATGCATAACTCCCAAGGGCTCCCCCACACTGGATGGTCTCTATGAGGAACGTGTTCAGTGGCAAGTCACGGGGAACACAGCCAGCAGCAGCTGACGTGAAAATACAGATGCTGCCAGCACGGGTTCAATGTCCTACAGATTGTGGGCTGACATCTCTGGAACCCTCAACTTTTCCTCTTGCCCTATTTACCTTCCCCCTCCATTCGATTGTCCAGGCCCTTGACCTAGCACCCCTGCCCCCTAAATGGTAGGCACACTGGGTGCCAAAGAAAGCATATTTGTGCATCAGGATTTGGCTTGGGACTTAAACCCCACTCTGGGGAGGTGTCACCTTGTTGCTCTCTGCCTGAGGGTTTCCAGGAACAACCTTCCCCCCTCCCTTCAATGTTTATTTTAAGAGAGAGAAAGAGAGAACAGGGGAGGGACAGAGAGAGAAGGAGACAGAATCCCAAGCAGGCTCCACATTCAGGATGGAGCCTGACATGGGGCTCAAACTCATGAACCATGAGATGACCTCAGCTGAAATCAAGAGTCAGACGCCTAAGTGAATGAGCCACATAGGCAACCCCAGGAACAACCTCTTGAGGCTCACGTCCAAACTTCCAGAAATACACCTGGACTTTTCTCTGCTGCTTCAAGACTGGGGTCCTGAAATCAGGGAGAGAAGACAAGCCGCCTGTGCCAGAGGCTTCCAATAGCCATCCCAGATAAGGTGTGTTTCCTGTACCCTTCCCTCTCATACTCTGCCCCTCTCCCCACTTCCCCCCTGGCCTAGCCCCAACCAAGACAAGGGCCACTCTGGAATCTACCATATCTGGCAGAGTCAACAGGTCCCCATGTAGGGACACTCCCATGTAACACAATTGGAGGGGGGGGGGGGGAGTCCCCTCGACCCTAGGCCAACACTCATTGTCCTCTCCAACTATAAAGGGAACTCTGAGGACTCTCATCTGGGATATTTGAATCAGAGGGGAGGAAGGCAGTCACTGGCTCCCTAGGCAGAGGCTGGGAGTCAGATCAAGGAAAGCACACAAACACTGATACAGCTAGTACTCTGAGGGTAAAGGAGTACTGCACAACTTCATAAATCCTGTGACATGGATTTTTTTCAAAGCCTGTGTGAATTTTACAATCAGAAAGAGAACAAGAAGCTTGCTCTCATGTTTTGATCGTCTTCGTTTAAGAAGAACATGATGAGAAATCTGCACACATAGGACTATTAATAGCTTGAAATTCCACACAAGAAAAATTACAACACGCGTGAAAGGCATGGAGACATCAGGTCAAGGCCTCATGCCCAAAGTCATGAGAAGTCCATGGACCCAACCTGCTGAACCAGTCCTCTTAAGAAGCAAACATGTAAGAGACCCCCAACAAAAGGCCATTTCTGCAGTTGGGACACCTCTACAAGCCAGGCTGGGGGTTGTGAACCCAAGGGCTACCATACTATCAGCAGGGCTGAGGGCTGAGACAGCATGACCACTTGGCCTCACTCAGCCAGAGCCACAGGAGGAAGCCAGGAGAGGAACCCCTAAGGCACTGGTCATCTGGGGAAGCTACAACAGTGCCCAACCAGCTTATTCCCCGATCATATGTACCTGAGCCTATACTGTTTACTCCTAAGCACAGTCTCCTTATGCCACATGCATCCATTTATTCTTATTCCCAACCCCAGACCTCCTGAGCCTATCCAATTCTCTCCATTGGAAAGAACTACTCATCCGAGTTCTCCAGCCTGGAGGCCCACAACACTCAGCCTCTCTTCCTTGGCCCCTCCTGTGCTTCCTTTCCAAAATCAACCCTATCTTCCCAGTTACAGCTCCCAGAAGCTATGCTAATACCCCAAATGCACTTCCACTCTCACTCTTCACCTGTCACGTGCTGCCCAATCCCTCCAGGTGCCAGCCCCAGCTTCCCTCAGGGCGTTTGCATATGCTGAGCCCTAGGCTTTGTCCCAAGAGGCTGCAGGCCCAGGGGATACAGGCACGTTCACCACCCAAACCACCTGTGCCCCTCTGCCGCTGTGTGGCCATGAGTGTAACAAGGGAAACACAGCTGCATCATTTCCAACCCAGCCCCCCACCTCAACGCAGCCATCCCTTCCTTCTTGGTCCAGATCTCATGGCCAACTTTACCCAGCATTTTGTTTCATGGTTAAGTCTTCCCCACTGGAGACTGAGGAAGCCATAATGTCACAGACCACATGAGTCTAGCTTTGGCTAGTGCAGCACCACCTCTCCAGGGAACCAATACTCCACCCTCAGATGGGCCTTCAGCTGATGGGCCTCAGAAACTGGCCTGAGGACGGACACATGGTTTAGGATGACCAATAGGAAACACCCCTGAGACTGGCTGCAAACAGAATGGTCATCAATGTCATCAATCTTCAGCTGGAGATGGCCTGTACGACAACAAATAGGGAGACCAGAATGGCTAAGAAGTCAGAGAGGAAGAAGATTGAGTCTAGAGGGGCCATGTGAGTCCTGAGACCGGCCATGTCTGAAGCCTGAGAACACTGGGATGGTTACGATGTCGCCCCAAACTTGAGCTCTTTGATGCTTCCGAGTCCCCTTCCTCACCCTGGCACTTCTCCAGCACTCAGCGTACAAAGGAGTTAAGAAAGGATGCTGGGACTGTGAGGCTGCGATAACGGCACAACCAGAGGAATGAAAGGGGTGTCTGGGATGGTGGCATTGAGAATGGAAGGGCCTAAAGAAAATGGAGTTGCAGAGACACGCCTGGGATCAGTCCATGGAGCCCGAGGACGTTAATGGCACCAGAGAACCTACAGAGCAGGGCCTCTAAGGAGGCTGAGGCCAGGATGGACGACAGCCCAAGATCCGAAGAGGTGGCGACGACTCCCTGAGGTGAGGATGGGGGCGGCAATAGACGCCAGGTCGGGTCTGAGGAGGCGCTGGGGATGAGAGGGCGTCAGGGCGACTCCACTGAGATGAGGACTACGGGCCTGGCCCGGGGTCGACGGCTAAGAGCCCATGAGCACCCCTGTGCAACACCAGCGCCGGCCTAACTGGACTGCCAACGCTTCTTGAACACTGCCCCCGGCGATGACGGCAGGTCTTCTCAGAGACGCAAGGGGACGTACAGCGGAGCTGCACTCGGTCGCAAAAGGACCAAGCTGCAGAGCTCCAGACGCACCATCTGCCCTGCCCCAAGCCGGAGCCAGCCCTCGCCGCGCAGCTCATTCGCCTGACGGTTTCCGTGGAAACAGCCGGAAGTCTCCAAACCGCCCAGCGCCGCTTCCTCCCGCCCTCTGAGACACGCTGAGCTGTGAATGGAGTGGAGGCTGACCACACGGACAGCGGAAGACAGCAAAGCGTCTCCACTGGAACTCGGGACACGTTCTGAGAACACCCCCACCCCACATTCCCACCTGTGTCCACCTATGTAAACTCCCAAAGTGCTTACCACTCTAGCGCAATACACGTTTTATTTGCTGGTTTACCTCAGCCAGGATCTCCGCGAGCGGGTTACGTTTGCGGTGTGACACCGAGGGTACTCGACCCCGCACTCCTTGGGCAACGCCTATGGCTTCGCCCGGGCTCTGGCCCGCCCTGGTCACCCTTCTTCTGTGACCTCCAGGGGGAAGGACCTCGTGTGTCCCACCCGTTCCGCGGTCTGCACGGTGGACTACGAGCGAAGTGACCTGCATCTGCCCCACTTAAAGATGGTGGCGGCACCGCCCATGCCTGGACCCACGAGCGTCCCCGGAAATGACCGAGTTTAGCCGATAGAGTCCGAATACCAAGACCTATCGCGAAGCAACGCGGGGCGGTGGCGGCTGCGCAGGCGCACAGCACAGGCCCAGCGAGAAAAGCCGAAGTCGGCAAGCGGCGGAAATATCCGAAGCCGTGGGGCGCCCGAGGCCGTTGCGGACCTCCGCGCCGAAGCCGCTGCTGCCGCGGAAGCCGAGCCTCCCTCAGTACACGGCAGCGGCCGCCGCCTCCTCCTTCCCCTCGAGCCGCACCCCGGTCGCGGTGGTAACGAGTGAACAGACAGGCGGCGCCGCCGCAGTTGGGCCTGAGGGGACCTAAGCGGGCGAGGGGGAGGAGGGAGCGGCCGGGTGGGGGCGGGGCCTAGCGGGCCGAGAACAGCCGAGTCGGCCCGAGCGCCGCCGAGCGAACCCGAGGCGCCGGGCCAGGCCAGAGCCGGGCTACGGGAGCCGACGCGGGCCGCGCGGTGGGCGCGGAGCGGCGCGGCAGGCCGAGCGGGCGGCGGCAGCAGCGGAGGAGGCCGCGGCGGCGGGTTCGAGTGGCGGAGGCGGCGCGGGCGGCGGCAGGGGGCCGGGTGGCCGGGGTCCCGGGCCCCGCAGCGGCGGCAGCGGCGGCGGCGGCAGGATGATCAAGCTGTTCTCGCTGAAGCAGCAGAAGAAGGAGGAGGAGTCGGCGGGCGGCACCAAGGGCAGCAGCAAGAAGGCGTCGGCTGCGCAGCTGCGGATCCAGAAGGGTAGGGGTTCGGGGGATGGGGGTGGGGGTCGGAGGTCAGCACCAGGGATGGGTTGTTATAGGATTCGGGAGTGGGATAATGCAGTCACTGGGGGTCAGAGATGTGGCCGCAGAAGTGGGGGTTGAAGGTTAGGGCCTTAGTTTGGTGTGATGGGGCGTTAGGAGTAAGTAATGTAGTCGCCGGGGGGGGGGGGGGTCAGAGATAGAGGTCCGAATGTGAGGCTTTTAGGATATTTAGGAAGCCAAAGCCAGGCATCTTGTATTAGGGACCGAGAATTAGAGAGCCCAGCAATGGAGGGTGGGTAGGAGATGGGGGACTCTACAGAGTATGGGGGTCATCAGGAGCATGGGTGATAGAGAAAGAATTGGATAGTGAGGGGCCAAGGATTGGGGATAGGAGTGGGAGAGGATTTAGTGAAGTATGTTGGGATCATCAGGAATCTGTGAATGACACGGGATGCAATAAATTTTGGGGACCAGTTTGTGAGTCTGGGGGTCATGTGGCTATTTGGTGTTTGGGGGACACAGGGAGGGGCAAGAGACAGTGTGCGCTACGAACTGGAGACGGGAGTAAGGTTGCATTTAGACTGTCATGCTGTAGGTGCTGGGAATCTTAGAGGGGTACAGGAATGGGAACTCGTATGTCTGAGGGTTAAATGGACACCTGAATTTGGGATGACAAACAGAAAAGAATAAGGACGTGGGGACAGGATTGGTGAGGAGATAATGGGGGGCAGCATCCTTGAGTTTAGATGGATAGGTGGGGACCTGCAGTGTCTACTAGAAAATGGAGGTCATAGTTGGGGATCCTGGGGTTTGGGGTAGTTGAAGGCTTTTGGAGGCCACATGGGAGTGGGAGCATTTGGGAGCTGGGTTGGAGGTACCCAGCTTTTGGGTGCTGAGACTTAAGGCTTTAGATTCAGAAGAGTTGGAACTTACCCTTGGCCAGGAGCTATTGCATAGCCACAGTTGAAAATGCATCTTTGAAGTGTGCTGTGGATGTAGAAGAGCCTGCCTGGAGACTGGGGAGCAGAAAGACCAGGGAGAGGGTTGGAGGTGTCGGGGGGTACAGCCCAGGACAGAGCCCTGAGGGTCTTGGAGGAGACCAGGGGGGCTCTGCTGGCACCTATACCTGCTCTGAGTGCCCTCATCTCTCCCTCTTTTTGTTCCCCTTCTTTGCTGTGCAAACCCAGACATAAACGAGCTGAACCTGCCCAAGACTTGTGACATCAGTTTCTCAGATCCAGACGATCTCCTCAACTTCAAGCTGGTTATCTGTCCTGATGAGGTAAGGGCACACGAAATTGGACTCCCAGGCATAGCCTGGGGTGGGAGTGGTTGGAGGGGGCACCTTGAGTTGGGAGGCCTGGTTCACCTGCCAGACCCTGCTGGATGGTGTCCTAACACCTTCCTCTTCTCTTCACAGGGCTTCTACAAGAGTGGGAAGTTTGTGTTCAGTTTTAAGGTGAGTGTCAGGTGGGCAGGGATGGCTGCCTGGCTGAGGAGGCAACAGCTGAGACCCCAACCAGGCACTGCTGGGGCACCTATCTATTTTCTCTCTCTTCTTGGAGCCAGGTGGGCCAGGGTTACCCACATGACCCCCCCAAGGTGAAGTGTGAAACAATGGTCTATCACCCAAACATTGACCTCGAGGGCAACGTCTGCCTCAACATCCTCAGGTGAGGGCCCTGACTTTGGACTGCACAGGTGTCTGCTCCTTCCCTCTCTCCTGTGGTCTATGGTCCTCTGTCTCTTCAGCACCACATTTTCCTCCTCAAGTCTTGCCCCTAGCTTTCTCTTCGTTCTGTCCTGCTTTGTGCCCTTCCCCTAGCCTCTCATATCTGCAACGTCCTATGCTCTTGGCTTGACCTGTTCAGTCCCAGCAGGCTCTGTGGTGGCCATTCACTCACCAGTCCCTGACCCTGATTCCTTGTCCACAGAGAGGACTGGAAGCCAGTCCTTACGATAAACTCCATAATTTATGGCCTGCAGTATCTCTTCTTGGTGAGTAGGGGTAGGGGTGAGGCCAGGGGGTTGGGGTTGGCCGTCTCTGCTCTTAGGGCCTGTTGACCCCCACCCATCCTGGCCACAGGAGCCCAACCCTGAAGACCCACTGAACAAGGAAGCCGCCGAGGTCCTGCAGAACAACCGGCGGCTGTTTGAACAGAATGTGCAGCGCTCCATGCGAGGTGGCTATATCGGCTCCACCTACTTTGAGCGCTGCCTGAAATAGAGCTGGCGCACACCAACCCCTGCCAGGGCCACCAGCCCCGGCGTCCCCTACAAATATTTATTGGGGGCCACAGGTGGGGGGCATGGGGTGGCTGGTGGGGGAATCCCATGCCCTGGCCTTGCCTCCCCTCCCTGCCACCCGCTCCTAGTTATTTTTTTTTAACCACCATGTGATTAAGGTCGGCGCTGCCTCCCCCTCCCCCCCCCCGACCCACTCAGCAATGGGAAATGAATTGGCTTGTCTAGCCCCCAGCTGGGTGCTGTCCAGCCCCCCACTCTGGGCTCTGGGGTGGGTGGCCAAGGGGACTGGGTGGCTGGGGCTTGGGAACCCCACCCCTCCACCACTGGAGGTCCCACCAGGCTATTAAAGGGGAATGTTACTGCATGGCTTCAGTCTCTTCCTTCTGTGGGGGTGGGAGGGGCAGGTGATGTCCACCAGGGCTCTTGAGGCAAACGTGGTGGGAGATGTGTGGTCACATGTGGCACTAGCGTACCCTTCAGTAGGCTATCTAGTGCCTGGAATCAGCCCTGGGGGAGGGAGGGGTAGTAGGGAGGCCATACCCCAAGCTTCTGGCTAGGTGGGATGAATCCCAATCTGGGACCAGCGAGGGGCAGGATCCAGTAACCACTCGCTTCCTAGCTGGTAAGCCAGCATAGAGGAAAGTCCGTGCCGTGCGTTTCCAGCTCTGTCCCCCTCCCCCTCCCATGGTTGGGCCCATCAAGAGCCCTCCCTGGTGCTACCAGGTGCCTGAGGTCCAGAAATATTAGGCAGACGTCGGGGTCCGTCGGATGAGCTGGGCCCTCTAGTGGGGGAAGTGGTGAGATGCGGGACCTCTGGGGTGGCCAGCTGGAAGGCGCCCGATGCTGGACTAACCCAGCGGGGACCGGGATCCCAGACGTGGCAAGGCTGGACCTATGGAATACCTCAGGCGGGCCGCAGAGAGACGAAAGGTGATGCGCATGCGCCTAGGTGCCGGCCCCCCCCCCCCCCCGTCAGAAGATGTACGCACGCGCGCTCTTGTCCCCTCCCATCGTTCCGGGTGCCGGTGGAGCGTGTGACGTCAGATCATCTTTTCCGGAAACGGCGACGACGGCAGAAAGAACCGAGGGGCTGCTGTTGGTGGGCGCGCCTGAGATCCGAGTGAGAGGAGTGTGACCCGGAAGCGGAAGCGGAATCCCGTCCCAGCTCCGGTGAGTGGCCCCTGCCGGGCCGCGGGTCCCAGGTGGGTGCGTGGGCGACGGCAAACAAGGGCCTCTTCACCTGGGCGTCGACTGCCTCGCCCCTCCCCGGGACCCTGGCTCCATCGTCGGGCCATCTCGTTCTCGGTGTGCAGGCTTCCCCACGTCCCCAGATTCTGCCCCAACGCCCGTCATCCCCTTCTGGGTGTACAGGGATCCCAGGGACTCTTCTAGGTCTACAGAGCTCCTCAGCGTCCATCACATCCTTAGCGTACCAGGTTCTCCAGTGCCCCACAACCGTATTACCCACACCCGGATTCTCTCCACTCGGACCCTCCAAATCCGAATGCAATTCATACACTGTCAGCTTCAGAACCCCCTATATCCACTTCGTTCTCGGCACTCACGCCCTCCACTTATCCTTCCATCTGCTGTCGGGTCCCCACAACTGCTGTGTCTTTGGGGCTTAGGGTCCCAGATACCCTAGTGCACCTTTCTCACACATCTGCCTCCAGTCTCAGTCCATCAGACTCCAGGGCCTCCCCATGATCTGGAGAGGCTGAAGCCTTGAACCTTCTTGGGAGCATGATGAAAGGCTGGGGTGGGTATATCCTGGAGAACTTTCAGATCTTGTAGGCCCACTTGTATTCTTGGGGCTACTTTTGGTGTTCCAGGCTGCGTTTTGACCTTCCTTATCGCTTCCGCTCCCTACTTCCCCTTTCCCATTTTGCAAGACCCCCAATATCACCCCCCCCCCAACACACATTGTGATCCCTGCTCTTCTTGCCCTTTTTCTGGGCCCACCACCACCTCGCAGCTAGGCTTCACGCTTGACACAGGCCCACTGGTGGGCTCCAGCTACCATGGACCTGTTGTTTGGGCGCCGGAAGACACCAGAGGAACTGCTGAGGCAGAACCAACGGGCCCTGAACCGTGCCATGCGAGAGTTGGACCGCGAACGACAGAAGCTAGAGACCCAGGAGAAGAAAATCATTGCAGACATCAAGAAGATGGCCAAACAGGGCCAGATGGTGAGCTCAGTTGGGCAAAGGCTGGGACACAGGGCTAGGTGCTCTTTGTCAGGCACTGCTGTAACCAGACCATGACAGGACACATCAATAGATAGCTGCTTTGAGAAATGAAGGGGGAGCAGGGCTTCCTTATTTTAGGAATCCAGAAAGGCTGCCTCCCAGAAAGTGGTATCAGAGCCACAAACCTTGAGTAATAGTGAGCGAGCTTGTGAAAATCCAAGGAACCAGTGTGTCAAACAGATGAAGCAAATGTTCCTTGAAGGAGTGATAGGTGAGCTCAGAGTAGATGGAAGGCCAGACCAGTTGAAATCAGGGGCCACACCATTTGTAGCAACATGGATGGAACTTGAGGGCATTACACTAAGTGAAATAAGTCAGGCGGAGAAAGACAGATACCATATGTTTTCACTCATATGTGTATCAGGAGAAACAACAAAGGACCATGGAGGAGAGGAAGGGGAAAAAAAATAGTTAAGGAGAGGGAGGGAGGCAAAACATAGACTCTTAAATACTGAGAAAAAACTGAGGGTTGATGGGGCTTAGGGGAGAGGGGAAAATGGGTGATGGGCATGGAGGAGGGTGCTTGTTGGGATAAGCACTGGGTGTTACATGGAAACCAACTTAAACTATATTTTTTTAATTTTTTTTTTTTTTAATTTCTAGGGGAGAGAGCGAGCGAGCGAGTGAAAGAGCGTGAACAGGGAAGGGTCAGAGAGAGAGGGAGTCACAGACTGAAACAGGCTCCAGGCTCTGAGCCGGCAGTCAGCACAGAGCCTGACGCGGGGCTCGAACCCACGAACCATGAGATCATGACCTAAGCGAAAGTCGGACGCTTAACCGACTAAGCCACCCAGGTGCCCCCAGACTATATTAAAAAAAAAAAAAGAAATCAAGGGCCACAGTGGGAGCTGAGTCAAAGGGGTTAATGCAAGAGACATGGCTTGGATATCAGTAAAAGTGATAGAGGGGTGCATGGATGGCTTAGTTGGTGGAGCATCCAACCTTGGCTCAGGTCACGATCTCAGTTTGAGTTCAAGCCCCACATGGGGCTCACTCAGTGCAGAGCCTGCTTTATATCCTCTACCCCGAACCCCTCAAACTAAGTAAAAAAAAATAATAGCCTGAACCACTAGGGAGCAGAGCCCATGACAGGTGATAAGAGTTTGAACCTGAGCAGTTGGGCTTAAGAGGTGCCATTTCCCAGAATACGCAAGGCAAGGAAGAGATTTATAAGTCAGGAACTGAGCTATGGATAGATTTACATGTGATCTGAGATAAAGAACTTGAGGTGTGAGCCTGTGTGAGGTGGAGGGAGAGGCAAATTCTTCAGCCAGGAATAGACATTGTTAAGGGTGTGGGACGCTAGATATGAAAAGGATCACTAGAGTGGGCTCAGCCTTCCTTCTAGCATTTGTGGGTCAGAGAGGTAACCTACAAAGGAGGCTGTGGAGTGGTGACCCAAGAGGCATGAGAATGAGGTTGGCAGGAGGGAGGGGGAAGTGACCATGGGTTTAGCTACATGTAAATTTCTGAAAACATCAATTGGAGTGGTGCAATGGGAGCAAGCCTCTTCCCTCAGCCCAATTTCCCTGCCCCTTTGTCCGCTCCTCAGGATGCTGTGCGAATCATGGCAAAAGACCTGGTGCGCACTCGGCGTTACGTGCGCAAATTTGTGTTGATGCGGGCCAACATCCAGGCTGTGTCCTTGAAGATCCAGACACTGAAGTCTAACAACTCAATGGCCCAAGCTATGAAGGGGGTCACCAAAGCCATGGGCACCATGAACAGACAGGTGCGCCTCTCCCAATCCCCCTCCCTCCTTCCCCAATTAACATCAGGGACCAGACTCACCCTCCCCACACCCTACTTCCAGCTGAAGTTGCCTCAAATCCAGAAGATCATGATGGAATTTGAGCGGCAGGCTGAGATCATGGACATGAAGGAGGAGATGATGAATGATGCCATTGATGATGCCATGGGTGATGAGGAAGATGAAGAGGAGAGGTTAGGGGACACTAGGTGTGGGGAGGGCGGGAATGGATTCCTGTTCTTCATACATGCCTGGCCCTTATAAAATTCTTTTTCTCTTCCCAAGTGATGCCGTTGTGTCCCAGGTCCTGGATGAGCTAGGATTGAGCCTGACAGACGAGCTGTCAAGTGAGTGTGCCAAACCTTGGGCCCTGTCCCACCCAATAGTCCAGTCACAGCCCCTGACTCCTCCCCTCCCACCATTATTCCTTTCTATGGAAGCTCTCTTAACCTCCCCTCTCTGTAGATCTCCCCTCTACTGGAGGCTCACTCAGCGTGACTGCCAGTGGGAAGAAAGCAGAGGCTGCAGCCTCAGCCCTAGTAGATGCCGACGCAGACCTGGAGGAGCGGCTCAAGAATCTGAGGAGAGACTGACCGCCCTATAGCACCCTGGTGGGGGGCAGGCAGTGGATGCCCGGCATTTCTCTGTACTACTTCTGTAATAAAGGATTGGACACTAATTCCTAGGCCTGTGTGACTGGCCTGATGGGGGCCAGGCTGGGGTCCCTTGGGGCAGAGGTCACATATAGGCTTGGTGAAGGGGTGGTTAGCATGCATGGCAGAAGGCCAAGTGCCACATTTATTGGGGTGTAAGATAAAGAAGGCTGGATTGCTTCCTAGTTTGTAGCAGGGGTTGACAAATCAAGTCTCCTGGGATGTTCAGTTTGGGAGCTGAAGGTCAGCTGTGAGCCCTGCTTTAGCACCCCTCCCAAGACCCCCAGTGCCTATCACCTTGAAGACAGTGGGCTAACCCAGACACCCTAGAAGTCTGGGCTCATCTGCCAGGAATCCTCAAACCAACCAGCTCACTGTGGTGCCATCTGATCATGAGAAATGGTTATACCCAAGTCCAGGAAGCACTCAGGAAGAATGGCCACCATGCAGCATGTATCTGGGGCTTCACCCTGCCTGCCCACACATCAGCCTGGATCTTCTCACCTGGAGGGCACCCAACAACCTCCGCTATGTGCACCATGCAACCCTTTCCCCAACCTGACACACTCTCCACATTGGGAAGGGCCCAAGAAGGATGTTCTTCCCTGCTCCATGGACACCAAGGTGGTGGAGGGCAAATGCCCCCACACCCACTCCATCCATCAGGGCATGGGGAGGGAACTGAAGAGACCAAGCCCCAGGACCACTGCCCCCACCAACCACCAAAAAAGGCCTGAAGAACTGGTGAAGTTTTTATTAAATCCACATAAGTAAAAACCATATTGTGAAGGGCTGGGGGATGGGGCCACCAAGAAGTAGGAGCCAGGCCACCAGATGGGGACGTGGGGGAGAGGGGATTTGACAGGACAGAACAGAGCCACGCTGGGTTGGCCTGAGAGGCCACAGCCTCAGGGGCCATCACCAGGACCACTGGATAGCTCCTGGGCACTCAGGCCAGCACCAGGCAGGCTCAGTGGTGGGGGCTCCACCAGCACAGCTGAGAACTTGGTGTCACCAAAGGCCTCATTCATGCGAGTCTCGAAGAAGCGTTGCAGGCCGATGATGGACTGCACATCTGCCTTGTCCTGAGCCAGGCATATTGCAGTAGGTGGGTCCTAGCTCTCCCTCCTCCCACCTACCCTCCCCTGCCGCCAGCCCCATTCTCCCCAAGCTCACCTCTGTCAGCTTGTTGAACTGCTTAAACATGCGGCCCACATCCTGGGCAAACTCCTGGGGAGAACTATAGGGAGGTGACAACTTCTCCTGGAGACGGGCACGGATCAGGGTTAGGTCCAGGGTGCCACCAGGCTGATCCTGTAGACAGAGGCCAGCCTAAAAGTGAGGCCAGGCAGCCCTTTCCCCTTCCTCCCACCCACCCCGCTAAAGTCCCAGGACTCACCAGGGAGAAAGTGGAGTCAGTAGCCAGCTGGTGCAGGGGCCGGCAGGGCTCATGACAAAACAGCGCCAGCAGGACACGCTCACACTTCTATGAACAGGACACGTGACATCACAGTCAAAGAGAGGGTAAGGCTGCTGAGCAACTCTCAGAGGAGTGGGGCCCCACCCTCACCTGCTGGTTGGCTGGCGAGAGCTTGGCCACCACACCGGTGCTATCACCACCATCCAGGCTCAGGCTGCCATCTTCCTCTTTCAGATCAGGTAGCACATGGCAGAGAGAGCAACTCCACTCCTCCCTGAATGGAAGGAGAATGAGGGGCTGCACAGAACCCGGCCCAGCCCTCCACCCTGCACAGACCCCACACAAGCCTCGCACCCTGGCACATCCTGCAGGGCAGGCAGGTGGCAGTCCAGGTGGAAGCAGAACTCGCACTGGTTGCACATGACCAGATCGCCTGGCTTCTGGCAGACGCGGCAGATGGTGGCACTGTCATCCAGGGCACCGGGGCCACCTGCTGGGGCTGAAGTGCCCTCTGGAGCCACCACCTCTAGACCTGAACTAGTGCTGCCACTAGGTGAGGCCAGGCGGGGGCCCTCAGCACCAGGGCCCTCCGCCAGGGCCATGAGCACAGGCTTGGTCTCAGGGCCCTCAGTGGCAGCAGGCGGGGCTCCAATGGCCGCCTCTGTCTCTTCCTCCTGTAAGGAGATAAGAGGTGTTCAGCAGGATGCAAACATCTGTGTTCACTTCCCAGCCACGGTTACCTGAGGCAGACTCACCTTGACGATGGCCATGCCAGGCAGTGGAGGGGCACCAGGAGCCCCGGGTGGAGCAGTCCCAGGCTGTCCGGCAGCAGCAGCTGCAGCACCACGCTCAATAACAATGAGATTGTAATCTTCAGTGGTGCTGCCTGGGAAGACTTTGAAAACTGGTGGCTGGCTATCAGCCGTGAGATCCAGGTCCAGGCGCTCAAGGCTCACCCGAGGCACCTTGCGCATGAGGCCACTCACCTCACCCTCACCCGAACGGGACCTGTGGGTGCAGCCTGGTGTTAGCGCACCCATTCCTATCCCCACCTGGCTCCACCAAAGGACAGCCAAACTCACCGCTTCACACCTGACACATGGGGCTCTGCACTCGAGTACGGATCGTCTGCTCAGAAAATAGAAAAAGCAGGTTGGGGACAGACCTAGAGCACTGGAGCCCTCCCACCTACAAGGCACTCACCTGAGCCAAAGCCATAGCCTTCCTGCACCTCCATGGGCTGTGGGCAAAGCAGGTAGACCTCAGTGAGCAGATGTCCCATAGGACCCTTGCCCCCTACCCTACCCCACCGGGGTCTCCTGTCCCCTGCTCACCTGGCTGCTGCCAGAACCCTGCTTGCTCAAGGGCCCCGGAGCCCGAGGAGGGGCCATGGGTGTGGGGCCTGTTGAGTTGGTGCCAGGACGCTCTGCCACAATCTTGCCTGCATAAAGAAAAAGTTACCATAAGAAGACAACGTCTAGATTGATAGCAACACGCACCAAAGAAAAGAAAGGGACACACCAAAAGCCTCTGCGCTCTTGGTCCAAGCATTGAGGTCCCACTGGAACTTCATCTCGCCATGTGGCTCCACAGGATCCACAATCATCTTGAGGGCCCGATGCAGCTGGAAGTAGATCTGAAAAAGGAGCAGTGCATGAACATACACACCATAAACAAAGCTCGAGGGTGCTGAGCAGCACCTGCCTGGATCCCATCACCTGGGTGCCCACCAGCACACACCAGCTTCTTGGAGAGCAGCAGAGCTGTGTTGTTGTCACTCTCCAGAGCCCATGAGGCAAAGCGCAGAATATGTTCCTGGTGCTTCTGGATCTTGGTCATGGTCCAGTGTTGTCGCTCCAGGCGCTCCTGCTGCCCCTCCGTCACCTTCTGCAGGTAGAGAAGGACACAAAGGAAAGAAAACACCAAGGATGGAATCAACAGCCAGCAGAAAGTGCTAGTCCCCAAGACTCTCCCACTGCAGATGGGGTTAGCAGCCAGCAGATGGGACCCAGAAACCCTCCCTCCTCAAACGGGGCATACCTGGGCATCGTTGACCAGCACACGGCCCCGCTTGTTCAGTTCCTTCATGATCTGCAAAATGGCCATCTTAACATCCACCTGCACACGCTTCTGTACATCAGACACTTGACGGATCCTGGGGGGCAGCAGAGTGAGCCAGGTCAGGAAGGTGCTCACCCAGGAACTGCCCCCAACTATGGCTCTGGCTTCCACACTTACGAGCTGCGAACCTCCTTGGTGTTCTTCTGCAGTGTCGCATGCTTGTCCCCAAGGCGCTTCACCAGCGAGGCCAGGAGCTTGCGCTGGTTCCTCACTGCGTCCTCCAGAAACTGGTATCTGAGGACAAACCAGAAGTGGGCCTGGGTGCTGAACATGGGAATGGGCAGCACCCACCCATCTTGCCTCAGTACTCACTGGTGGTCCTTATGGGCGTTGAGCTGGCAGTCCCGGCAGGTGAGGGTGTCGCAGCTCTCACAGAACAGCACGAGAGGCTCATGCTTGTGAACATTGCAATACACTGTGCGCTCACCATCCCTGGACTTGGCTGGCCCTGGGGAACACAAGAAACCATGAGGCTGAAGCTCATCCTTTGCTATCTCCAACTCAAGTGGCTCACTTTCTTGCCTAACCTGCAACCCTAGGCTATCTGCTGGGAAAACCCAAGGGCCCTGCAAAAGTGGACAGAAAAGAAGCACAGGCCTGTAAACCTAGATCCTTCCTCTCAAAACCCTCTGCCCCAACCCTGACCTAGAGAACCACACCCACCCCTTCCAGCTTCTGACACTAACAAACTGAAGACTGTAGCAGAAACCTCTCATCTGTTATTCCCTCTACTAGAACCTTCCCCAGGGTGGACACTCAGGAGAACTCCACCTTGAAAACCCCCACTGGGCTCCATTTCTCCTGCACTCGCAGCAGGTTCTGTCCAGCAGAGGAGAAGATTCTGGCTACCGTGGCACCCAAGCACACAAAGAAAGCAAATCAGGGACTAGAGACACTGTACAGGTGCAGCTTCCTCAGAAGTCATGTCTTGGTTGATCTCGCCTCTCTTCAGTAATTAAAAAGTCCACAGACCTCTTACAACCCACAGACCTACAAAGGATCCTAACCTCACAAAGCCTTGTCAGAATAAAAGTGAAATGTCAGACCAAAATCCTCACAAAGAGGTCAAGTCGCTTCTCTCTGAGAAGAATCTTGGTGATTAAAGTAATACCACAAAAAGACCAATACAGCCCTACCCCACTCCCAACGTGTCACCACCAGAAAGCTGCTTGAGACCATTTACCCAATCCCAGTTACATTCTGGCTACACTATTCCAGCCTAGGACATACAACACTCAGACACAAATCAAAAAGACAGACCACAGTTCCTCCAGTATTGCCCCCTCCTGCACCCTGCCCTTTGCCTGAACCCAGGAACCTCTGTAAACCCCTGTCCTTTGCACCTGATTCCTCATGCCCCACAGCCACCACCTCCATCTTTCTCTTCTTGTCAATGTTATGGTCTACTACTGAGAAACCACAGTATATCTACCAAAAGGTCACTCATGGGGAGTTCTCAACCAAAAACCAGGCTAGACTCAAAAG